TAACAAGGCACATGCTACTTTATATTCCACTTAATCTACATAATGAGAATCAGTGATACAGTGATTGGCGATTATACCTGGCAGCAGATGGCACGTGAAAAGGCCTGTGGAGTTTGCTCTACTTGAGGCTGTGAATAGGATAGACCTCAAGAGCGTAGTCTTTTCTCCAGGCTGGCTGCATAAAGAGTAAATCTGCACAGCCTAATGTCCCTTCCTTATCAGTACATTTTATTTACTACTTGAAGCAAATCTGCTTTCAGGGCCATTATCGTTACTCTCATTGTGAGCACACATCCATTTTATGACTTGGCAAAAGTGGGTGAGGGGACGAGAAAGAAATTGTCACTTGAGGCAAAATTTAATGAGCTTAAATATAAAGAGATGTGCTTTTAAAGCTGCTCGTTCAAAGTTACAATTTTATCCTGTTATATCAAGACCAGACATATAGAACCGCAGGGATACCCCAGGGCTGCATCCTTGGCGTCTTCTTTTCCTTATCTATATGCTCCCTCTGGGTGATGACATCCACAGACATGGGGTAAACTTCCACATGTTTACGGATGTCACACAAATTCTACTTTGCCTCCTCCAGCACCAACTATCAGCTTGTCTGACATCAGGGCCTGGATGAGTGTAAACAGATGAATGTGGACAAGACAGAAGCCATACTCCTTGGCTCCCATCTCCGTCTTCACTCCTGTGGATCTAAACTCCTCAACCTCCCTGGGCTCTCCCTCAGACTCACCGAACCAGTGCGCAACCTAGGCATCCGGTTCGACCCCCAGCTGTCCTTCCTCCCCCACATCCGGTCCCTGACCAGGACCACCTTCTTCCCCCTCTGCCACATTGCCCGCCTCCAACCGTACCTTACCCCAAATGCAACCAAAATCCTCGTGTGTGTTTGTTACCTCCCACCTGGATTACTCCCAACGCACCCCTCGCCGGTCTCCACAGCTCCACCATTCACAAGATCAGTTCATTCAAACTCTGCCGCCCACATACTGACCCCAACCAAACCCCACACCCACATCTCCCCAGCTCTGGCCCAGGCTCCACTGGCTGCCCATCACCCAACACCGGTTTCAACATCCTCACATTCGTGTTCAAATCCCTTCACTCTCTGGACCCTCCCTCCCTCCCCGACCTCCTGACTCCCCAATCCACCACCCGGGGCCTCCGCTCGACTGGCACCGGCTCCTGCTCGTCCCTCGCACCCTCCGCCCCACCATCAGAGGTCGCGCTTTCAGCCACTACGCCCCAAACCTCTGGAACTCTCTCCCTCAATCCCTCCGTCTTGCCCCCTCTCTCCCATCTTTCAAGTCCTGCCTGAAGAGTTTCCTCTTCGCTCGTGCTTACGGCCATCTCCCCCCGACTCGGAATCAGGCTCCGGCACTGTTAAGAGGTCTGAGGAGCTACCCTGCGTGGAGGGTGCTATATAAGTGCGAGTTGTTGTTGATGTTGTTGTAGAACAGATATTAGATAATTATAATTATAGTATTGAAGGATTCAGTGATAACAGCTGTAAGAATGATGTCTGAGTGATTTAAGAGCATCTTCTGAATGCCTGAGATTGAATTACTCTCTCTGGTACTTACTTTGTAATGTAGGTTTGTGTGTACCATTCCTCAGTCATTCACAGATGTTTTTTTCAGTGAGGTGGAGACTCTGCTGCTAATGACCGGCTGCCTCAGCGAGATCAATGCTGGGAATTCAAGTGCTGCTGGTGTCCGCTTGAAGGTAATTTATTGCACGTGATAGGATTTTTTTTCAGATGCCTACATGTTATTTCCTATAGAGATCATATGAGAACATAAGAAACAGGAGCAGGAGTAGGCCATTCAGCCCCTCGAGCCTGCCCCGCCATTTAATAAATAATTCCATTTTCCCGCCCTATTCCCATATCCCTTAATCTCTTTAGTTTTAAAAATCTATCGAACTCAGTCTTGAAGATGTTCAATGACTGAGCATCCACAGCTTTTTTTTTGGAATAGTCTGGACTAGATGACTCCGCTATTAACTCATTAAAAGTTGGAGCTGTGATCAACTGCACCACAGCAGGTAATTTCTCCTCTTGGGTTGAAGCTACTACTTTCAGTCAAAGCAGATTTACTCTTAAGGTGTAGCGCGGAGGAAATCTCGGCTGTCAACTTGGAACCAATGTGAAGGATCTCATTGTTTCAGGTACAATTGCTTCCCCTACTGATGTGAAGTTGCAATGCAGTTGGTGGATAGATGGTGCAGTAAGAATAAAGATGTTGAAATAATAATAATAATAATAATCCTTGCATTTGATATAGCAAGGATTATTATTATTATTATTTCAACATCTTTATTCTTACTGCACTTGAAGGAAGCCTCAAATTGTTAAGCCACCCAGGGTTAGAGGGTGGTTAGAGTACTATATCCTCTGCTTATGTATTTTTTTTAAAAAGCCTTAAACCAGTTTTAACTCAGCTGAGATGGTAGAACCTCACCACAGCTGGCGTTATCTCCCCCAGGCTCAGCTATGATGACAAATGTAATAATGAGTTCATTGTATTTTCTGTGTACCACAGGCTGGTGAGGAAACCAGTTCAGACTGCATCGGCCTTTGGACACAAAAATGAAATCCTGCGGAGATAATGGTAAGTTCTTTATACAGTACTTATTATAACAGGTAACTGAAGAAAAATATATTTAAAACGTAGAAGGTTGGTCCAGAATCACTGATTCATCGCAAACACTAATTACTGATTAATTACTGGTATAGCAACTTTGCTACTTGCATTAATTGGGCGACATTACGGGACATCAATACCAGTCAGGACGTTTCCCAAATCAATTTTTCAGGTTTACTTGCATTTCTCTCCTGTTTTACATCACTCATAACCTGGTCAACATAGTTTGCTGTTCTGTGACATCGGAAGGGACTAAAATCATAATCAATGTTAAAATCTTCACTAAGTTGCTGGTGAAGTATGAAGAGGAATTTATCAGCACTCAAAATTATACAGCACCCTCTTCTGGTTACGCTTGTCAAAGTATATACAGTATATGTTAACGGGATGTAGGTTTGATGGACTATCTACTCCTATCTCTCAGAATTATTCTATATTGGTGTTTCACACACAGTCAATGGGAGAAACGCTATGTAAAGGAATTAGTTATAAAGGACAATTGTATATGTTTCAATACTGTGGCCTCTGAAGATGTATATGTTGTTTCTTGGGTCAACATTTAAGGGTGAGAAATTTAAGATATGAACCGATTAATCAATGTACAGGGGAAAAAAGCAGTGAAAAGCCAGTGAAAGTAGTAGTATTGGCTGTAACAAATGCCCACATTTAATGATGAAGCAGCATACACACAATCTGGATGTTAAACAATTGTTTTCTTTATTATGGTTCAACAGTCAATGATTATACAAAGAGCAACAACCCACTATCACAAGACAACAACTTGCACTTATATAGCAGGGTCGTGTCTTGGGAGTGCTTAACAGTGCCAGAGCCTGACACCGAGCCAAGGGAGGGAGGAAAATCTTCAGGCGATTTGCCCCTTTAATCTGAAAAAGGGGCAAATCGGAGGGAATGAGGGAGAGAGTTCCAAAATTTCAGGGTGTAGTGGTTGAAAGTACAGCCTCTGATGCAGAGTGGAGCGAGAGATAAGGAGCCGGAGACAGCCGAGCGGAGGAGCGGGTGGTGGAGTGGGTGGTAGAATCGGAAATTTTTGAAGAGAGGGAATGGTACAGAGCGCGGGGGAAAGGAACAGGGGGATAGATCGAGAGGTTTGGGATAGGGACGGGGTGAGGTGGACATGCAGCCAGATGGAGAGGTTTGGATGTGGGGGGGGTCAGGGAACCCCCTTCTGGTTACTCGTCAAAGTATATACAGTATACAATTAATGGAACGTGGGTTTGATGTCAGGTGTCAGTGAGCCTGAGAATATCAATGTGCTCGTCCAGGATGAGATGGTGGACAGTGAGAACTATGTTAGAGAGGGAGCGGACATTTTGGAGGGTAATGGAAATAGGGGCAGTTGTAGGGTTTGTAGATTGTGGGGGGAAAATTGTCGAATATGAGGGGGAAGAGTTGGGAAGGATGAGGGAAGGGGGGGGGGGTTACATTTTGGAGTCAGGCCTTGTGGAGAGAGTGGGCAATGGAGCAGTCACGATAATGTCTGACAGAGGACGCCCAAGCTGGAGCAGAGGGAGGCAGCGGAAGAGTCCAAGGGGGAGAGAACAACTGAATACAAGTAGTGAAGGGTGGGGAGTAGATGGGGGCAATTTGGGAAGAGGAAATCCGGGTCAGGGCAGCAGCCAAAAGCACACACCAAGACTGGAAGCAAAGCAATCAATGGGGCATTTTCAGAGGCTGGAGGAGATAGCGCAGAGGAGAGAGGGGGGGGTGGGGGAAAGGCACTCATAGTGTTATTTAGGCTGGACAAGAGCCGGACAGAGGGTTTGAGAGAGAAGCGAGAGGACAAGGCAAGGGAGGGAGATTACAGAACAAAATGATAAAAATGATACTTATCCTGTTTGTTTTGAAATATTGCAAAAGGAAGCAACGTCACACTGTAAATTTTGGCCGTTGATTCAGGCAGGAAAGTTTGAATTGGCATCTCCGCGCCAGGACCCACTGACCTGCTGGTACCCGCTGGCCTCACTCCCTTGACAGTCCCCCTCTCACACTGACCTCACTCCCGCAATAACCTTAATGCCTCGCTGGTGCCACTCTTACTGTTACACCAGCCATACTCGTCCCAATAATGGTCGCAATCAGGTTTCAGAGAATTAAGTTTTGATCAGTTACTATCTCTATAGGGAGAGCACAGGGAGTCAGTCAGATCTGCAACTCAGACATTGATTAAAATACCCTCCATTATACCCAAAAATCTGAATCACATTTGCACATCAGGAGTGTTCCCACCGCATAAATGCTAACCTTCAGGCAACAAGTGGTGGTAACCCACATTCTTGTTCCAATTCTGCTCCTTGAACAATAACAAAACAACAAGTGATATGTAGTGACCAAATATCCTTCAGTACTTTCGCAGTTATAATTTTATTTCACCCACAAAATATAGTCAATTCACTTTACAATATATTCTGTGAAGCACTTTGAGACGTCACAAGGATGTGATGAGGCGCTGTACCAAATGCAATGATTATTATTTTAACTCTTTCCTTGCAACACTTTTGATTACGTCACATTTCTCTTCTTATCCGACTTGTCAAATCCTTTTCCTCAGTACAGAATACTGAAGCTTCTATTCATTCTTGTTCATTTGTTGTGAATGTGAATGTACAGCTTCGACAAAAGCACCCACATGTTCAGGATCCATGTCAGGGTACAGACCGTGTCCCAGATTGGCAATGTAGCGCTGTGTGCCAAATTCTTCAATCATCTTCTTCACAGTTTCACCGATTTTGTCCTAAATTTAAGGATAAACCAGAAATATTGACGAGTTAGAATCTGTTCTTGATCACATCAGACTTGAATTCAAGTGGTGACTTTTTCACTACTTTACTAACCTTTGGTGCGTAAAGTGCACAGGGATCCATGTTACCTTGAAGAGTTACATTTTTTCCTAGTTTTTCCCTGAAAAATAAATAAAAATAAATTACTCTTCATTGGAAAACTTTGACACCTTTAGTTTGTAAACTTCCTGGCTACATAAAAAACATACTGTGGCCAGGGAACTACCTACTGGAGGAATAATGGATGAGGACGATGGGGCAATACCATACATCTTCCACAACAGGTTTTCAGTTGCTCAGTGGTGCAAAGCTTTGGCATTCCAAATAGATACTGAAGCACTTTGTAAAACTGTGTTTGGTATAAAAACAAAGCAATCTCCACTTTGCATTAATTCCAGAAATTTCAAAATACAAATTATCAGTTTGTAAGTTGCCAGTTTGTTGCCAATATAATTTCCTGTATTCTCGGCATCCGTGATCCCAGTGATTAGAAAGTTAGATATTTTTTAGCCTAGGAAACCAGCATACCATGCTTCTGGTACAGTGCAAGTCCACAGTAGACCCGCTTTGGATCTGCTGCAGAATGATTTGTTTTACTCAAACGCAAAGCACTTATCTGTAATTCAAATNCCCCACCTCCCACAACCAAAAGACCTGTTGTTCAGAGCACCCAGAGTGTTCATTACTATAAGTGGTGTTGGCCAGTTGGCGAGTTACAATATTTACTATGTTTCAACAACAGGTAACGTGGTTACGTTTAATTTTTTAAAAAAGTTTAGGTTTCTCCTCATTTCCCACGGTTTTACTGGGTGACCACCATCTGGCCCACTGCTCATGCCACTCCACTGATGATATTCTTACCGTGCCACTTTAGGCTGTATGGTCCAGTCCAACCCAACCACCTCATACCCAGACTCAGAAAGATCTTCCAAGGCATAATGGCCATCCTTTGCAAACACAATCTAGAAAAATAATTACAGTAAAACATTGGAATTAGGAGAGCTAAAGGATCCCATATGAGATCAACAAAACTCACTGCTGAAACAAATACTTATTTGAAAATTAGAACTTTGTAATGGTTTGATTCTTAACTGTGGGTTTCGCTAATTAAGGAGATTACATTATTTTCCTGTGTATATATCCACAGGTTTGACTGCCTTGTAAACGAGCATCTTGTGAACAGAAATGGGTTTGAAGTGAACTACCTAAGTTATGAATTCTTTACATTTGTTAAAACACTCTAAAAAAAGGTAGATTATGGTAATTATATGCAAAGTACTAGCAAGAGGAAAAACTTGAGTTGAGTTGTATTAGAATGTACCTATGACATGGAGGGGTGGGGGTAGAAAAGTTATCCATACATTTGAGATTAATGGTTAACAAGTGCAGTAGTTTCTTATTTTAAATAAGATTTCTAGGAGATGAGAGAACGTCAGGCTGCATTCAGGCATAATTTTGTTCTGAACAGACTAGAGTTGTCTGGAAGCCATTGTATTTATGCAGAATATGGATTAGCTGTCTCTTTCCATGCAGCCAGCCAGGGTTGTTTTGTAAATGTGATTTACTGTGGAATCCATCAAGGTCACAAACTCCCTTTTCCCCTTTCAGGAACAATCAATTTTCTTTTTGACAAAAAAATAATAAAGTAGGGCACCTCAAAGTAACAACACACGACAGTGAATGCTTAAGTGTCTCATTAGTATGACCAATGCCAGTCAAAACAATTGCATATTACTTTCTTTTTACACTTTCACATCTCTAATTACCCTTCTGTTTGATTTCCAGTGAAAATTCCTGCTAGCAATTCAGACATTAACAAACCAAAAAGCTTTTTATCAAGAGGTAACAGACCAGAGAACTGGACTCCAAACTAGAAGAGCAGAATTAGAAACGAGTTCCAACAGTCGGTCACAATCATTCCCCTCCCAACTCTGTGGAGTAATTTTAAAATTGGGGCCATAATATCTTGGATTTTGACCATCCCTATGAGGAATAAGAGTTGTGGCAAATACATGAAAGAGACCAATACTTTGTCCCTTGATAAACCTATGATTATATATAGGAAATATTTGACTGCTTAACAGAGAATGGCAAACTTAAACACAGTAGAAAGGTGGTAATCAAGAGTTGATAGTTATTCAAAATAATATTTTCCAGGTAGGTGGGCAATTGGCACAAGGGAGTCCATCAGGTTTTTCAGGTGAGGTTGGAATTTGTATAGTGCCTCATCCTACATTTCAATTAATAATAATTAATGTTAAGTGTTGTGGCTGCATTTGTAGGTAAATTCACTCCTCTTTTTCAATAGTATAAAACCCCGATTGTCCAGCGCCCTGAGCCATCTTTCCAACATGAAGGGCCCTATACAAGTGTAATTTGTTGTTGTTATTGTTGTATAATAGAATCTTTACCATCCACCCAAAAAGGCAGATGAGATCTCAGTTTAACGCCTAATCTGAACCTCCAACAGCTAAAATGTCAGCCTTGATGGAGTTCACATTGCACAATGTGGCAGTGATATAATAAAACAGATTCCACGTTACCAGTGTCAAATACACCGTATATAGAACTGCTGCATTTTCCCACAGCCAAAGAAGGAGGATGATATAAAAAGATTCTTCCTACTTGTTCAAAGTAAACCAGGAAAATCAGAATGGTAAAATTGCAGCTAAATAATACTCTATATGGTAACAATAACGATAGGAAAGATAAAATTATGAATTCATTGCTGGCTTCTCAAGCCTTCTTGACGTGGGCTTGAAAATCTCTCCTGTCATGAAATCTTGCTGAGTCTGCAAGGCTTGCCCAGTGCAGCAGTAACATGTCAAGCCTGAGAATTTACAGTTCTGCAGATCTGTTCATTACCTCCTTCAAAAACAACAAAAAACAAATGTAATGCTAAAATATGAATTTATCCAGTTGTCCTATTATGTAGTTTTGTCCGTTAAACCTTTTAAAACTTAAGTGTCATGTCAGCTTGTTTCCCTGTGACAGCGCATCTGTGCAGATGAGATTTTTTGCACTGTTACCAGGTTCTGTGCTTGTGATCTTATTTAAATGAAGAGCTTCAAACTGCTTTAATGGGCACAGGGATCACCTTATGTATATGTAATGATGTGTGAGGGAGACGAAAAGCAAAAATAGCCGATTGCTGAAGAATTTCAAATCAAGAAGATAGATTACAATAGGATGTCTCATGGGATTAAATAAAGTTTTATAAATTTAAATGAAATGAAAAAATCAGCTGCCTGTGCAAAATGAACCAAGGTTAAAGCAGTGTTTAAATTTGAATAAGGGTTTATACGTAGAGATGCTTTTAAATTTTGCTTTGTGAATTATGGGCTGTTTAAAACAAGAGCAAGCTATGGCAAAGAAACAATTGCACTCTTTCTCATCCCCATCCAAACCTTATTCTTCATGTCTCAAATTATTCTCAGAGAAGTTTGTTCTCTATCGTACAAGATTTCACATCTTAAAATTCAATTTCTAGACATTTTCAAATATCTCCATTACAGTGAAGCTCGTGAAAGGCAGAGTTGGTACAAGTGGATATGAGATGTTGATTTGATGTCTACTTTTGCCTGCATACATTCTGGTACCTTGGATGGTCACTACACTTAGCTACATAAATGATTTTGTTCTTCCTGTTTTACCCTCCCACTCCTGAAGCTGTATCGGTAAGACTACACAGGTGCCAGGTGCCCAAATAGCCATTATTCATTCGAACATTATTTTTAAAGTCTTTCGATTTTACAATATATTCTGTGAAGTGAGAACTGATAAGGAACCCTAACCCTAAGTTAACGATAATTATTTATAAACAAAACTAGAAATCAAACAACTGATGTGAGTCAAACACATGGCAATAAGAGGGATTGTAAAATACTTTTAGTGATGTAAGTATAGTAATAAAAACTAAGATATCCGTCAAAGAATAAGTTGATAAAAATGACAGTTGAAATCAAGACGTAGGAGAAGTTAGAAAATCCACACAAAATAAGGGATGACCGTGTTTACCATTGGTACTTGATCCAGGCTGAACTCTTTCAACTTCTTCTTGACTTGCAAGGCAATCTGTCTGATGTACGGAAGTGCAAACTCACGGAACTGCTCACGTCCGAGGTGACCTGCATGAGATTCAAACACCTGCAATGCCTGCAAAATCATTAACAGTAATAATTAAGGAAAGAAATTAAAGGAACAAAAATTAAATGAAATCTTTTGTAGGATGCTAAATTAGTAGACTGGAAATTAAGTCCTAGCTATCTGGTCATTGTCTATTAAAAAGAAAGTAACTATTAGTTACCAGAGATTTCCACCCCCCTGCAATTTAAAATTATCTCAATATAAATATCTTTCCATGCAGTCCATCAGGTTCTCTTTTTGAAACAATATTTAAATATGAAAGGAATGACACAGAACAAAGGGTATTTGATGGTACATTACACGGTGAGACACGATTGGCAGCAGTACCGAGCTAATGTTAATACTAAAGCAGTGATTCTCATATTACAGCATTTGATTTATGGAAAGCTGTTAGAAAAGGTCATTTTCTGGGCACTTTGATACATGCACACTGTGCATATTATATAACAAGAGTTGTGCATTACTCATTCTCTGCCTATCTAAAAACAAAAATAAAACCAACTAATCTTTGGAAAAATAAACATTATCTTTGCTGTTAAGAAGGTTGAAAACCTGAAGATATTTGAAATCCAATTACTTTTTAAAAAGTCACTCTAAAACTTTTCAGAAGCTGATGGTTCAACAATGGGACTGACTAATTTGATGGGACTGTTAGACCTAATGACAAGCCGGTTACACATGGTCCCACATTCAGTGTAAGCACTTTGTAAACCTACATGTGGACCATTTTCAAATATATCAAATGCAAGGATTATTATTATTATATATTCATTTATTTTAACCAGGCATTAACCAAAGTCCAGAGTGCACATGCCCTGTTCAATGCCAGGGTATTTTGAAGGTTGAAACGTCTCAAAGCACTTCGCTTCTTTTTAAAAGACAATGACCAGATAGCACAGTTTACGTGAGCTAGTATTTATATTGAAAGGGAAGAGCTATGAAGTGTATCATTTTATTAGAATCCTTTAAAAATAACTCTAATTGAAGCTAACCATTATGAACCTCAGTTGAGGAAATGAGGTTTTGTGCACATGATTCTCTTCATTCCATACTCTCATTAATCACTGGAACTACAGTATATAGAAGCTGGGACAGGCAAATAAATATACACTGAACTTTCATACACTAGCTATACATAACTGGCTCAGGAGCTGCAATTGAGGAGGTCTGGAAACACAGTGCCGTTTGGCAAAGGGCCAAATGATGAAGCGTTGCTATTATATCAGGATGTCCTAATCAGCTCATAAATCTTCAGATAGTACAATGACAACAACAAATTGCATTTATGCAATACCTTTCATGTCAGGAGGATGTCCCAAGGCACCAGACAGTGAAGCGTTCGCACCTGAGCTGGGGGTTGGAATGTAGGGGGTGGAGAGCAAGAGGGATGGAGGTGGGAGGGTGACAAAAGGCACAGTCAAAGAGGAAGATCTTGAGATGAGCCTTGAAGGAGGCAAAGGAACAGTGTAACTCCAGGATAGAGTTCCAGAGGGTGGGGGCAGAAAGGCTAAAGGCCTAACTGCTAATGGTAGAGTGGGCAGAGCAGGAGTAGGAATGTCCCAGGTTCATATCCTGCTGTAGTGAGTTAACTGATCTTGTCTTTCAGAACTACAATTGACTTGAGTGTTTAGAATGGAAACTTGGACTAGATATCTGTGCTTGTGGAACCTTACCCATTTCTGGCTCTAGAAAAGGTTGGGGAGAAAGAACTTCTCTAGGATTTCGCTGCACAAAAACAATGATCAATTCTACTGACAATGAACTACAACTTTAGGGAAACCTTTTTCCATATTTCAAACATTGGAAACATTAAATATGAGATAACCATGTAATCCTTCTCCTATTGTGACCTGTAAACTTTGAGTTTGAAACTCAAAAATCTCAAAAACATAGCAAAGTCCTTTTTTTTAAAGTGTTAAAGACTACTTACTGTAATCTTCAGACAACTGAATTAAGACATTTGTTTGCATGTACAAATTCTGCCACGCAGTGGGGTTTCTGTGCTACTGCAGTTCAAGGAGAAACAGTATTTGCTATATAAACATATGCCCATGATTTTCTCCAACTATCCTGACCACACAGCAGCAACCCCGGTTTACTGGATGGTGATCAACCAACAAACTATTACAAAGGCTTTTTATTTTTAAAAAGAACATAGGTTTGGGGATGAATTCTATGGATAGAAAACCGTTCGTGTCAGTATTTTAGCTCTCATAAACTACTTAATACTTGCAGTCAAAATTGTGATGTTACTTTACACTTGCCCATTAGGAACTGTGTGAAGGCACACTACTATACTGGAAACAGAAACTCACATGCCTTTCATCTAGGTTGGATTTGAACATAGATCGTATAAAAGGACAGCATGCTAATCTAATGTGTTAGCATTAATTGCCATTTTCGGTTTGAAATAAAGCCAGCTCTAGGCATTCACAATTAGGCCTTTTGTGAAGAGTGAACATTAAACCACTGTCGATATTCTCAAATTAGAAGTCACAATTAGTGCATCACATCCAGTTTGCAAATATCATAAATGAAATGCCAATATGTCACAGCCATTGACCAATTTAAACTCCCGCTACTTGAATTTTGAAAATTAAAAGCAGGCCATCTTCAGACTGAATCTCTGTTCACCGCCACAATTAGATCAAATAATAATTAGTTGCAGAATGTTCTCCCATTGGTATTACATAGGATTACAGGAGAATGTAACATGCAAAATTACGTTCAACAGAATGTCAGAAATGAGCTACCTGAGCTCCTGCTGCCACCTGCCCCACCAGATAATCGACGATGACATCAGTTAAGATTTTCAACAATTTGTGACTGCCCTCAGGATACTGGTAGAGCCACCGTTTTGCTTTGGACATTGTTTTTGAACCACCTCCTTCAATCATGTATGTCATTAAAGTCCACTACAAAGGGTAAAGATGAAAAGAAGGATTAATGACAGTACATTGGAAAGACTAGTTTTTAAAATAATTCTATTTGGTTTTCTCTTCCAAAGAAGGTATGATATTTGAGCATTTTCATTTACCACAAGATGCAAGTAGAACAAAAATGATATTTAGTGAAATCCCAGCCATGGCAAATTCTAACAAGAGACTATAATTGAAAACCCTTCCTCTTGTACAACTACAATCTCTAAACCACAGTACAAAGTTGTATTATTTGACTTATATGGCACAGCATTTGTTCCAATTGCCTAGATTTGTTGTAAAATCAAAGAAGACATGTTCTTTCCATTTGTAACCCCTCTCTTCCTCAACCCCTTAGTAGCAAAGAGCTGACATAAATCCACACACAAATAAAGATCTCACTGCGTGACGGAGACCTGGATGAAAACCTGTAACCCACTCTGCAGCACAGCAGAATGATAGGCTGCTTGATGGGATTCTGAATAAATCAACTCTCGCTTTACTTTTAAGTGATTTTCAAAAAATAGTAAATAAACACCAGTAAAAGTTTGTTTTACTTAATAATAAAAAATCAATATGAAAATAATTTTTAAAAAGTTAGTTTTAACCAACTGCCTGCTTTGAAGGTTCCGCTTTAAAATTATAATTGAATTCCTCTCCAACATACCGGGGCTCCCGTGAACCCAATTAGAGGAACTTTTCCTTCCAGTTTGTGCCGGGTCAGTGTTATAGCCTGGAACACGTATCTCAAATCTACAGGCACATCAACGTCCTTACGCAGCTTCAGAAGATCTTTAGGCAGCTTCAATGGCTCAGGAAAGCTTGGACCTTTTTCAGGAACCATGTTCACCTCCATCCCCAAGGCCTTAAAATAAGAACAAGTGTTTTAGGAAAAAAAGACTAGGAATATAGAAAGAAGATTGACACCTTACCTTTTTGTATGTGGACGTCGCTACCACATATTTGCTCACCTCAGAAATAAGTATATTTGGATTTCTCTACTCTGAGTGGTCAGAGGTAAACTCCAGGATCTTCTTCCCCATCCCTCTTCCAACATCAGTTAGTGGGTTCATCAAATGTGGTGTGCATTATCAGAGATTTTGCCATTGAGAATGGCATGTGTGGGGCAGGGCAGGGAGAGAAATGGGACACATTTGTTGTGCTAAATATTGAATTTTATTGCTAAACTGACATCAGTACATCCATCTTCCGGGTTGTGCGGAATTTGTCTGGCATGTTTAACTAAGGTGAAAACAAACAGAAATTTGCTCAGAAGTAAAGGAGAGTCACAGCTTATGTGCAATCCTGAGTGCATCAAGAAACCCCCTTTCCATAAATCCAAATTAACCTGATGAAAAAAATAAAATCCTCTTACCTGCGGTATTACCAGAATGTCAGAGAAAATGATCGCAGCATCGAATTGGAACCTTCTGAGGGGCTGGAAAAAGTAGACACGAGAAAAATGCTAATTAAAAAGAGCCAATAACATTGCACAAAATGTAAAAATAAAGGGTTATAAGTGATCACAAGATCAGGTTTCTGCATTACAAGTGAGAACAAACCAACACATATCAAAATTGATCAGTTTATTTTTGTTATACATACAGATCCAATGCAATTGTTACCAGTGTTGCTTGTTTCTACCAAAGGAACAGGCTTGTTTAGTCCAAAATGAAATCTGAAAGATTGTCTGGTGTAGTCATTCAAATGCTGTCCTTGCATTTCAACAATTCCCCTGTCTCACCCCCAGCTTGAGTGCCACGTCAATATTGTACCATAATATTGGGACATCCTCCAGAAGTGAAGAGGGCTAATAAATGTAAATCCATGGCCTACCAAAATTATTGGTGAACTTTTGAGTTTTTACTTTTATTCTTCTACCTAACTTTAGATCCTTGGTGATGCAACCACAAATATTACACTCTGCTGATCTAGGGAGGAGTCATCTTCCCTCCCAATATAATTGCCTGTTTTACCTCTCTTTTCCAGCTGATATTGCCATGTGTAAAAGCCACTCTCTAGGTGAAATTGAGTATACACAAGTCAAAGCTAGTCAGAAATCTAACTGCTTAACTGTAGCTACTAAATTACTGTAGTGCCCATTTTTCAATTCAAATCAGCACTACTTACCATCAGTATTATCTACTAACAGGAATTTTGTTTTAGATACCTCACTCCCTGCTCTCAGCCCCTCCTGATCCCAATCCCCAGCTTGGGTGCACATCCTTGACTTTTGCGTTTTGCGACATCTTCCCGACGTGAAAGATGCTATACAAATTTGTTGTTGTATTCACAAATAGCCTGCCCAACTCACCTGCAATGTCAACTCACAGCAGACCTCTGGAGTTTTACAAGTTTGGAAAAATTCTTGGCTGGCTCTCGTTTCCCGGAATTCTGTGAAAAAGAACAAAAAATAGTTTGTTTGCCCATTAGGAAACCCTTGTGCAGCAGCATTCACCAGTAAATATGTAAGGAAACTTTGTATTTATTATTTAGTTAATGATGAAATAATATGTGCAATTTGGATGTTAAACAATTGGTTCCTTTGATACAGTTCAACATTTATATTCTTGTTCCAGTTCTTGTTCCGTGTAAAATAACAAGATAGCACATGTAATCACCAGATGTCCTTCAGTACTTTCACAGAGATAGCATTTTATTTTAGCTCTTTCCTTACAAATTGTTGGGGCCTTCAGTTCTCTGGTATACACCATATTATTATAAAAGACTCTGATTATTAAGTGCTGCCACAAGGCTACTTAGACTTCTATTCTAAATATTGCCCAGTTGCACATTATACAGTATTGAGTTATGATGCATTCACAACGGTATGCATATACTGTACTATAAAATCAAGTGGTGGCACTTGCACTGGTTCAGTTACATTTGGGCCAAGTGAAAAACTTCAGTTGTTTTTATTGTTGTAAATATACTGTGAAATGTTATGTTCTATATTACATCCTATTATTTACCACAGCAACACAGATAAAAGCTCCGTTCCTTACCTGGGAGGTATCTCCCAGCCTGCCTCATACACCAGACAGGGACATGGTCAGTCACTTCACCCCATGCTGCTTTGAGAAAGGTGGAATTTTTCAATGGAGGAAAGTTTCTGGGGCTGAAATCAATGAATCGCTTTATGAGTCAAATGAACCAGGAACATCAACATGCAAACTGCTAAACCTATTTGAGCCCTTTTTTAAATTACTATAATATTGTGAATTGTTGTGTATTAATTATAGCTAAGGAAAACATTACAGCACTCAGACATTTATAGCTCTGGTGTCACCATCTTACCTTGCAAAGATGTTTTAAAGTCTTTAACTGTGTTTGAACATTACACCCACCTTAAAAGAAACTAACCTTATCTAACAAACCAGCTAACTGAAAAGATGGAACTCCTTTGTTTTAGATAAAGAGGGTGTTCATGAGACAGATAAATGCAGAGTCACGATCCCAAGAACTGACTATGTTGAAGAATTAAAGGGACACCTACCAACATTTTAATTTGAAGAGTAGAATATGTAACTGTAACTAACTGCCATAGAGCTTCATTAACAATAAAATGTCTTCCTGCAAAAATAAGAGTAATGAAAGCAATCATAACGACTTGTATTTATATAGTACCCTTCACATAAAATAACATCTCAGAGCGCTTTACAGTGAGCACTTAACAACGGCACATGAATAATAATCCTTGCATTTGACATAGCACCTTATCATGTCTTCAAGATGTCTCAAAGCGCTTCACAGGATATACTGTAAAGCATAGTGACTATATTGTATGGGCGAAACGCGGCAATCAATTGTGCACGGCAGTCGTGGATTGAACGACCAAATTATTATTATTTTGAAGGAATTATTACCTCCGGAAAGCAAACCGCCATACAAGCAGGTTCTGCTTACCGTTAGGTAAACCGAAGCGCGTGCGCGTGAGAGTGAGGAAACTTGTCTAAGGTTCTCTCTCTTTAAAAGCAGGATATGATTTAATAAGATTGACCGGTCAGCGCATTCTGAACTCAAACACTGGGAGTAAATCTAAATCCTGCGACTAATGATCATTTGAAGCCGTTGCGCTCTGGCGTTATTAATTATTACAAGTTAATTAAAACCCTCGTAACTTGCACATTTAGTTTTTTCCCCCCACCCGCACCCCCCCAAAACTAAAGCCCCTTCAAAAAAAACTCGTGGCGACACAACGACTGCCGACAGCAGCACAGGACGGACGGTCGGCGCGAAGGTTACCTAAGCCATCGAGACGTCGCAGAACCACCGCACAAACCGCCGTTGTTGGCCCGATGTGCGCCGCGGTGGCTCCGCTGCCTCTCCCTCTTTTAGGAGTCCTGTGGTTTAGTGGTTGCAGCACTTCGCCTCAACAACAACAACAACAACAACATTGCATTTATAGAGCGCCTTTCAGGTCGGGAGGACGTCCCGGGACGCCTCGCGAGCCGGAGGGGCCCTGAGCTATTATTATATCCAATGCAGTGATGATGATGATGATGATGAAGATTATTATTATTAAAGCCACAAAGGCCCCTTTTAAAACAAGAGGCATTACAGAGCCCTGGGAGCCATGGCAACTCGCCCCCAGGTGGGTCGCAATCCCCCCCCACCCCCCACACCCCCCACACACCCCCCTCCCACACCCCCCCCCCCACACCCACACACCACCCCCCACACGCCCACCCACCCCACCCCCACACACCCCCGCACACACACCCCCCACACACACCCCCCCCACACACACTCCCACCCCCCACACCCCCCCCCCACCGTGGCCGATCAGTGTGGAACCCGCCGGCAGCTCAGCTCAGTACCCCCGAGTGGCTCTGAAACACCGTCGGCTCTCAACTCAACCATCAGCGTTCAGCACTTCCGGCACTTGTGAATGAAAAGCTCTTTCCTCCGTCTCTCTCACTCACTCTCTCACTCACTCCTCCACCACCACCACCGCAGCAGCAGCAGCACAGGGCCTGAGGTAAAGCCCTCTCTCTCCCTCTCTCCCGCCCTCAGTGCTGTACTCACAGAGGGGTCAGATGTCTGCACTCCATGGTCGGCAGTTCGGTTGTGAGGACTGTCAACTGTCCCCGTCCCCAACCGACCAACTCCCCCCCGATCACAGCGAGAGCTTCTCCCTCTGCTCCTCACCCCACACCAACCGTCACCTCCCCCGCCCCCCTCGCGCCCTGTCACACCAACCGTCACCTCCCCCGCCCCGCCCCCTCGCCCTGTCACACCAACCGTCACCTCCCCCGCCCCGCCCCCCTCGCCCTGTCACACCAACCGTCACCTCCCCCGCCCCGCCCCCCTCGTCCTGTCACACCAACCGTCACCTCCCCCGCCCCGCCCCCCTCGCCCTGTCACACCAACCGTCACCTCCCCCGCCCCGCCCCCTCGCCCTGTCACACCAACCGTCACCTCCCCCGCCCCGCCCCCCTCGCGTCCTGTCACACCAACCGTCACCTCCCCGCCCCGCCCCCCCGCCCTGTCACACCAACCGTCACCTCCCCCGCCCCGCCCCCCTCGCCCTGTCACACCAACCGTCACCTCCCCCGCCCCGCCCCCCGCGCCCTGTCACACCAACCGTCACCTCCCCGCCCCCCCGCCCCGTCACACCAACCGTCACCTCCCCCGCCCCGCCCCCTCGCGCCCTGTCAGACCAACCGTCACCTCCCCCGCCCCGCCCCCCTCGCCCTGTCACACCAACCGTCACCTCCCCCGCCCCGCCCCCCTCGCGCCCTGTCACACCAACCGTCACCTCCCCCGCCCCGCCCCCCTCGCCCTGTCACACCAACCGTCACCTCCCCCGCCCCGCCCCCTCGCCCTGTCAGACCAACCGTCACCCCGGTGACGTCCCACGCCGCGCGCCTCGGCTCGGCTCAGCCAATGAACGTTGGGCGTTTTCAGATCACGAGTCCACAACCTCTTACGTGACAGCCTCCCCCCCCCTCCCCGCGCCGCCCCCTCACGCACCGCCACCGCCACCTCCCGCCTCTTCAGGAAGAGGATCGACTGCGGCCTGTGGCCGGGGGGGGAATGCGGGGCAGCGGCCGGGACAGGGCTCGAGGCGGGTGTCGGGGGGCAAAACAACAACGGGAATCAAAGGGTATTTTGACGCGAGTCTGACAGGGGAGCGGCCCAGTCGGCTCCAGGGCTCCGACTTTGTGACGGGAAAACAAAAGGCCCCGCCCCCGCCAGGAGGTTAGTGGTGTGTGTGTGTGTGTGTGGGGGAACCGATCTGCTTCAGGGACCCCGACCGCCGGCACAGACGAGACACGTTCGTCAAGAGCCTCCTCTGCCCACACGGAGAGGTGACTGACCGACCGCCCGACTCTCTGACCATTCATTCCTCTGCAAATATAGCAGCAAAACCTGATGAACTACCAATGGTGACTGTAATCCCGGCATTGATGGGATACAACAACAACAACAACAACAAGATTCCATTTATAAAGCGCCTTTCACGTCAGGAGGACGTCCCAAAGCGCTGTACAGTTGGGTCAGGACCCGAGCATTGGGGGGGAAATGGTCAGGGTGAGGGGAGGGGAGGGAGGGAGCGAGGAGGGGGGGAATGGTCAGGGTGAGGGGAGGGGAGGGAGGGAGCGAGGAGGGGTAGAGAGGCGAGAGCGGAGCTGAAGGCTGAAGGTCAAAGAGAAAGGTCTTGAGACCGGCCTTGAAGGAGGAAAGGGAGGAAGCGGCGAAGGCACTGGGGATGGAGTTCCAGAGCCTCGGGGCTGAGAGGCTGAAGGCCGACCACCGATGGTAGGGCGATTGGGGCGGAGGATGTGGAGCAGACCGGAGCCAGAGGAACGGAGGGTACGGGCAGGTAGGTGGGGGATAGTAGGTTGGAGAGGTAGGAGGGAGCGAGGCCGTGAATGGCCTTGTAGGTGAGGATGAGGATCTTGAAATCAATCCTCTGGGGGATGGGGAGCCAGTGGAGGCGAGCGAGGGTGGGAGTGATGTGATCGCGAAGCCTGGTGTGGGACAGTACACGAGCTGCAGAGTTCTGAATGACCTGCAGTGTGGAGGGAAGGCCGGGAAGGCCGGCGAGGAGAGAGTTCCCATAGTCCAGCCTTGAGGTGACAAAGGCGTGAACCAGGGTTTCAGCCGCGTGAGGGGTGAGGTAGTGCCGTAGTCTGGCGATGTTCCGGAGGTGATGGAAGGCGGTGCCAGTTGTAGTGCGGTTGTGAGGGCGAAAGGACAGCTCAGGGTCGAACAAAACGCCGAGGTTCCTGACTGGCTTTGAGAGGTGGAGAGTGCAGCCTTGGATGCTGATGGTGTCAGCGCCTGAGGTGCGGAGGCGCAACTGCAACTCGCGCAGCGCCCGCCAGGCAGGGCGGCGCCTCAGAGCGCTCAACCATGGAGCCTGACTCCCAGCCGGAGGTGGGGGGGGAGGGGAGGAGGTGGCCGTGAGCACAGTTCAAGCAGGAAAGGCTTCAGGCGGGACTTGGGGGAGAGGAGAGAGGGGGCAAGGCGGAGGGGTTGGGGTGGGGGGAGGGGTTGGGGTGGGGGGAGGGGTTCCAGAGTTTTGGGGTGTAGATGGTGGGCGGGGGGGGGGGGTGCGAGGGGACGAGCAGGAGCCGGTGCCAGTCGAGCGGCGGCGCTGACCGGGTGGTGGGTTGGGGAGTGAGGTGCCTTACGTAGGGCCTTATCACGTCGTCGAGACGACTCAAAAGCGTTTCACAGGATGTACTGTAAAGGGAATTTGTGGGCGGAAATATTGGCATCGAAGTGGAAGTGCAAGGAAGAAGACTGTGAACTGCTGCTGTGCAGTGTGGAGCCTGGGCTCAATCTGCACCTCCCTCACTGCATACCGTTATATATGCGAGTAACTTAGCTCTCCGCTGGACGGAGACGCGCACGCAACGCTGCAGATTGCAGACAGGATCGGGGTTCAGATCATTGTGTAACCCGAGAGAGCGAAGCTCCGGTCTACTGGTGTCATTCGTCTAAGGCCTTAACAATCAATGTTCCTGCTCTTGTCACAGCCTCAACCCTGTTGTGTACTTTGTATAATTTGTACAGATAAAGAGTTTTTCTTGCATGTTAGCAGATAGCAGGCTGCTACGATTCAGTTATACCGTTTACACTGGAGGTCCGTGGCTCTGTGGAGTTCTGTAACTTAGTGGTTAGAGCACTCGTCTCGAAAGTGAGAGGACCTGGATCCAATTCCCTGGCAGGTGAAACGTTGGACATGTTGCCTTACTCCACATACCTCTGTTTACCGAGCAGTAAGTAGGAACCCAGTTGTTAGTTGATTGGCGGATCGCTTTTCCTGAGGCAGTAACCCCTTCAAAACAAAAATCAATTTAAAAAAAAGTAATAATTTGGTCACTCAATCCATGACTGTTTGTGAGACACTGCTGTGCACAATTGGCTGCCGGGTTTCACCACAAAGTATTCACTTTACAGTGTATCCTGTGAAGCGCTTTGTGACGTCTCAAAGACGTGATAAGGCACTATGTCAAATGCAAGGATTATTATTGTTGTTATCCTGCGGCAGGCAGACCAGTAAATGCACAAATTGCTATAGGATGGCATGTGTATGATAAAAGTTGCAATTATAGCAATTGATGATATGAAAATATTTTTCGTTATTCCTATTACTTCACATAGATTCTTCTTGTGTTATGAAATTGTTGTTTAAAACTGAAAATTAGAATTGAAGTCTTCAGGAGGGGAAAATAATCCTTAGAAATTAGAACATTGTATGCATTTTGTCAATTTCAGACCAGAATGAATCCTGAAAATCCTCACTATACCCTGGGAAGAATCAGGTTTCTGATCGAGTGTATTGATTGCTTCAGGAACAGCAAGTCTTTACCAGAAGCACTGTGTTATGTCCCCAAAGAGGTCTTGTACAAGTTTTGGAAGGACTCCACCTTTTCAAACGCTCCTCCAGGGCGATCTCAGTACATTGTTTCAGTCTGGCAACTTGCCTCCCAACTTCAACGCAAGAAACTCTTTGACATTGAGTCAAAGCGAGGAACCTGTATTAAAGCCACTGGGGAAGAATACTGCAATACCCACGGCCTCTGGGTAAAGCTAAATCGGGTAAGGATCATAAGTATAAAATGTATTTTAATTCTGATGTATCCTTAACCCTAACATAAAATTTTCTGGTAATCAATTGGAAATGACTATAAAGCAGTTGATTCCAACTGAAATCGCTTCAGCTCTCTTGTATTGTTTGATGAACTGTTTATTTTAGAATATTTTCATTAATTTAGTAACNTTTTGTGGTGTCAGTGGCTGTCAATATTAATGTAAACGGTCAAAAGGCATGAAACTAACACCATTTTGCTGGTGGACATGGCAATGAACCAATGAGTAGACTGGATTTCTGTTGCTGACTGATCAATGGACTGAAGTTAGGGCTGCACTGGTCTGTATGAATCTGCTACACTCAATAAATAAATGTAAATAAATGTGCTGAACCATTAGGAAGCTCTGAAAATTGTGGGGACACGTCACTCGCAAATAGAAAAGTATCCGGAGGTCAGTTGTGAGAGTTCACACTTGATTGCAGTTGTTTTACTGCTTATTAAGTTGAGGGCCTCCTGACGTGAAAAGTGCTATACAAATGTAATTTGTTGTTGTTGATGCATCTCAGGAGCAGGAAATTCAACATTTCTTTTAGTACTTAGGGTCAGTTTTAGGGTCTCGTACAAGTCATGTATGGCACAGATACAAGGCAGGGTGTAACCCCTAATCTGAACCAGCAATATGCCTTAACCTTTGCCCATCACCACAGCACCATCCACTAGACAAATATGACAATCCTCACATCAGCTGTTACTGTATATTCTGAAAAAGAGGGTCAAATGCGTTCTGGTTAGTTTTGTATCTCCAATAAGAATTTGGTTGAAACAACCCTTATTTTACTTTTCAGTCTGTGGGTATGTGTGGTAGGAGGGGGCTGGAGGTAAACATTCCCATCAGTTTAATCAGGAATTAACTGTTTTATTTCCTTAGGAACAAATCCAAGAGTACAACAGCAGCTGTGAGAGTACAGAGGGCTGGATTCTTCTGTGTAAACAGCCTGAAGGAGGTGAACGTCTGGTCCCAGTGGAAACACCTGAAAGACTACAAAGACAGCAACAGCTTTTTGGCTATGATTACAAACCCTGTAAAAGGTAGACTAACTGTTTTCTATAATCACAGGTGCTCGGCTCTGGGATTAAAGTTTTCTGGCTGGTAGCTGTAAGGGTCCTATGTGAAATGTTCAGTCCACTTCCTTAATAAGTGTAGGTTCATACCCTTTATATGGCAATGTCACTCAGAGGTGTTACTTAATGACTGACATGGAAAATATAAAACTTCACACAATAGAGGAGAGGGGCTGAGGCATGTAATTTGGGTAGAGTGGATGTTGTGATGTATCTGACCAGATGTTGATTTTGATGCTAAAATGGGAGTGTTTCATTTACCAACACTTAATTTTTTTGTACCATTAGTATCACTAGGCATATTAAAAATGACAGAATTATGATCAACATTCTTCCTCTGCACTTTTGTGAATAATAATAATCCTTGCATTTGATATTGCATCTTGTGGAGTCCTGTAGCTCAGTGGTTAGAGCACTCGCTTTGCAAGCGAGAGACCTGAGTTCAATTCCAGGCAGAGGGCGAAACCTTGGGCAAGTTTCCTTACTCCACACAGAGCCTAATAATAATCCCTCCAAAACCAAAAACAATAATAAATTGGTCATTTTCAATCTACGAGTGTTTGTGGGACATTGCTGTGCGCAATTGGCTGCCGCGTTCGCCCACAAATATACAGTCAATTCACTTTACAGTATATTCTGTGAAGCGCTTTGGGACGTCCTCCCGACGTGAAAAGCGCTATATCAAATGCAAGGATTATTATTATTATTATTATTATATCACGGCATTGAAAAGTCACAAAGCCTTCACAGAATTTCCTGGATGTGTAGTGTGAGTTTAGAGGCTAACAAATGATGAAGTGTGAATGTGCAAGCTAATTAAATCTACCCCACAATTTAGAGAGCATGTTACAATCCAGATGCATTTAAGGAAGTATTTAATCTGTGACCTTTTGTAACTGAATTATTTTTGAAATCTTCCTGTTCTCTTTCTCTACTATTGCTTTTTGTCTGATACAGTGATCAGATTTTTATTAGTTTTCCACTACAATTGGGTGAAGAGGGAGATAAGCCAATGAACATTTTTTGTACGCTTGTGAAAAAGATAAATGTGACAGATAGACCTTTCTTACTGTATTAAGCACAATAATGACATCTAGTGGTAGAAAATGAGTACCGTTGTTTGTACTCTGTGTGTGTTGTGAGGTTTTCTTTGTATCCATTACCACCATCGCAAGAGGAATCTTATACATTCACTAAATACTGAACTCCATGATAACCAATATGACCAGAGGTGTCTATATTTTTGATTTAGGTGGGAGCAGGTGGTTGATGTGCAATATTCATTACATCTCGGTGCTAAACCTAAAGTGGCTGACAGGGATCAGGATGCGGTACAGAAGCTCAGGTGGGATTGTGGTTTTTAATTTTGTGTCAATTTCATTTATCTCTGTATAACAAGTAATGGAAGTGAGATAGTAAAATAAAGTACATTTTTGGTGATTCCGTGTTTTAGAATGGTGGAAAAGAGATCTGCACTGTGAGTGATAGATTTTATTGTGAGACCTTAAATGCTGAGCTTTGGATCTCACCATGCTGATTGTGCTGATATGAAGAATTGCTGAGAAGAGATTGACGGCTTGTCCGAAGAGAAAGAAGAACTTCAGCTGTCTCTTGCAGATCTCCTGGTGTCTGGGGAAACCCTAGAAAGGAGAATAATGAGAAATGCAAAGGATGAAATGAACACTTTTGCTGAAGGGCAAATGGTATTTTTGCCACACTGAATTGAAGCTCCTCTGAAATGTCCTCCTCCCAGAAATTTTTAGAACCATAGAAATTTACAACACAGAAGAAGGCCATTTGGCCAAACGTGTGTGCTGGGTCTTCTAAGAGCTTTGCTTAAGTTGAAAGATTCGTAGCACCCTGGTAATTGATTGAGGTTTTGACTATTATATCTCTTGTTGAATGCAGGTATGTTCCTCCCACTTGGACTTTTGAATGTGATGAAGACTTGGTGCATTACTTCTATGATCGCATAGGGAAGGAAGACGAAAACTTGGGCAGTGTCAAGCATTTAGTAGACAGCGTTGATGTCTCCTCTTTCTCTGTAAGTTATTCACATTACTTTCAGAAGTAAGCTATGTTGCCAATTCAACAGTTCTCTTTTCTTACTTGCAACTACAGTACTTGAAATGAAACTGTTTTTTCCCCAAACATTTGTTTTACTTAACAGGATGAAGCCAACGTATGGTGTTTGACGGATGGAGACAATGACACCTTCTGGGAGAGTGAGGGGAACCAGGGCCACCACTGGATTCGATTGTACATGAAGAAAGGCACCATCGTAAAGTAAGACGACATTCGCCCCTTAAATTGCCCTCTTGTGGAATCCCTCAAGAAAAAAATAAATAAATTGGTCACTTCAATCCACAACTGGATTGATAAACCTCCTTTATACAGGTCAGAACCAGTACTTAAGCAGATATTCAATATGTCAGGAACTTGTATCATTTCCAGGAGAAAATAATAATAATAATCCTTGCATTTGAAATAGCACTTTTCACGTCTTCTAGACGTCACAAAGCGCTTCACACAATATGCTGTAAAATGAATTGACTGTGTATTTGTGGGCGAAGCGAGTGCTCTAACCACTGAGCTCAGGACTCCACATGATGGTACTTACCTGTGTCAGTACCAATGTCGATTTTTTAAAAAAAAAACGCAGAAAATGCCCTTCCTACCAGATAATACAAGAAATGTATTTCTCATTATAGAATTTGAAGAATTCTTGCCAAATGAGGACATGAACTTAATGTTAATTTATTCATATGCGACTTTTTCTCCACATCTTGAGAGAAAATATTCAGCTTAATAAATTTGGCCATATTTGGACATTCTGAGATGAAAGTGTAGTCTAGTAGTGTAATTAACTAAATTAACTACTTTATCCTTTGCAGAAAGCTTTTTCTTACAGTAGATGCAACAGATGACAATTACATGCCGAAAAAAGTCCATGTGTATGGTGGTGACCGAGAGAATTTGAAAAAGCTGACTGACCTAATTGTTGATGAGTAAGTAATGACCTTGGGTTTTAATGCACGTCGGAAGAGAAAGTCCCACTAGCCTTTCTTTAAAAAACTGTTCTATTAGAGTAAGTAAAATTCTAGTCATTTTTTCAGTATTACTGAGAAATATTCCTGATTAAAGCATTAACTTCCTGTCCTGACCCTGTGTGCTTCTCTATTTTGTTGTCCTTTTGGTAATCTCTTTGTCAGATAGTTTTTGCTGTTTGTTGCAATAATATAGTTATTGTAACTTTCATGTATTATATCTTATCACTCGTTATAGTATTGCTATTGTCTCTTTGTACACAAGTTTATTGTATTTTATCCACATATCTCTTATCTCATGGGATTATGCTAAGTAAGAGAATAGTAGATTTTAATTGTAATATCCTATCTTCTATTTTAGAGATCTTGTGTCTTTTTCAGTTTTGGCTCGCTAGTTCATTCGCCTGCAAAATGTTATCAGAGTGGACTGCTGAGGTTTCACAGCAATAACAAATTGGAAACCACAGAACACTTGTTGCGATTGTCTTAACAGCTGGAACATTGTTTTCTATTCCAGGACTTTAGTCGGTGACCTCTGTGTTCTAGAAGACATGATGGTGCACATTCCTATCATTGAAGTACGCATTATGGAATGTGTGGGTAAGTCATCCAATGCATTTGATTTAGCACCTTTCACGTCAGGAAGATAATAATAATAATCCTTGCATTTGATTTAGAGCCTTATCATGTCTTTGAGATGTTTCAAAGCGCTTCACAGAATATACTGTGAATTGACTGTATTTTGTGGTCAAAAAGTGTTTCACAGGATTTATCGTTAATTGCAGTGACTGTATTTGTTGGCGAACTACTACTAACTTGGTGGGGAAGAGGAGACAACCAACATATGATGGGGCTAAGGAACAGACCTTCTGTGCACTTTCGATAAGAGAGATTGGCAGAAAATGCATGGTGGCAGCTCGCACCATTGTTTTACATGAAGTGCAATAATATCTAGATTATATGAAATGGGTGCACTTCTTTGTCTTCACTTTTTGTTAACAGATGGAGGTATAGATGTACGAATTCATGGTCTCAAGATAAAATCTTCCAGAGAAAGAGATTTGGGGTTAAACGTGGATATGTTTCAAGCAACAAACCTGGTTCGTTATCCACGCCTCGAGGGCAATGAACCAGATGTGCTGTACAGGAGGGCAGTGGTGATTCACAGGTTGGGATTTACATTCCAGATTCCTTAAATAAGAATGCATATTCATTTTTTTTCAACAATTAATTTACAAAGCTTTGTATTAGTAATTGAAATAGTGATAGAAATTCACCTGTTGCAGAAAACCTCACAAATAACCACTACTCATTCATTATATCCATTTCGGAATGCAAGGAAACCTCATTAGATATATGTTAGCTTGCTCAGTTGCTTGGAAGCATTCTCGCCTCGAGTCAGAGGGTTGTTGGCTCTAGCTCCAAGTAAGATCATTGGACTCCCAAGTCTAGATTGACCATTTAAACATTTTAATATTTTTTTTAAGATTTCTTAAGATCCTGGACAATCTGCTTCACCATCTGGTGCCAGCCTGGGATCACACAGTTGGAACATTCAGTCACGTGAAGGTGAGCCATTTCAATAATTTGCTGGCCGTGAGGGAGTGCATTGTTTCTTTACAACATCCCCACCACCCCCCATGTGACTAATTCGATGAACCTACAAATTGCTAAACAAATTTTATTTTGTGTGTTTTTTTCAGTATATTAAGCAGTTCCTCCTGCTGTCAAAGCGCCGCACAGCCCTCATCGCTCAGAGTCTGAAAGACTCAGAAACCAGCAAGCCCAACTTCATGCCCAAACTCTACATCAATCGCAGAGTGGCCATGGAGCACCGAAACAACCCTTCCCTTGACTCCACTAACAAGAGTGCTGTGTTCACGCAGGTGTGTCCACCTTAAATAATCTAAAGCACTTTTTTAAATTAGGTACAGGATTTCTGACAGTTTAAAAATTGAGACTTCTGTTAAGCAGTTGAGACAGCTGGTTAGTAACATTAGAAGTTCCAAACCGCAGTGGTCAGTTAATCCTTCCAAGCTACCGTCTAACTTCCAAAAATATTATTTTCGCATAACTATCTAATACCTGCAAATACTTTTATTTTCTAGTTTGCTTTGGCTTGGTTGGCTGTTATTGTTAGCTGCTTTCTAGAGCTTCCAGGTGATGCCATTGTCTGTGTTGAGTTAGCTGGTCCCAGCTCTGGTGACAGAGTCGGTGCTAGCTTACATCACGTGTCTGTCGGTATGTTCCTGATTGTTATCCTATCTGTGTCCTGCTTGCTTCTGTGTGTGGAGACATGTTTAGAGTTTGATAACATATTTGGTTTGAGAGCTTATCCCATAAATTTCAATTGTTGTGAAAAGGAATGCATACTTTGAGAAACAAAGTTAAAATTCCATGTCAATCATTGTATTTTTTTTTCAGATGTTTGAAGGTTTGAAGCCTTCAGATAAGTATGAGAAACCCTTGGACTACAGGTAATGTTGGAAACAGGAAAAAGTACTGAGCACCAGGCTGACAATGTGAATAGCACTGATCAGTGATTAATAGTTAAATGCATTAGTTGTTTTTCTTGAATAGTCATTTTCCCATGGTAACAGTGGCTAATTGTGCATTGTAATGAGTTGCTGCTTATAAAATCAATATTTGTTTCCTCATATAGACACTCTATAATCATAAAGCTCATCAATATTTTTGGCTTCATTTTTTCTCACACTTATTGTAATCAAAGTTAGCCTGCATTTGACTTGTATTTGTTAAAAATATATTCACACTTCCCATCACTTATTTTTCTCTCTCTCTCCCTCTTTGGTTTCTCCCACTCTGGGAGATGGGCCTGCTACAATAATGATCTTGTATATCTGTAATATTTCTTATCTGTAGGTGGCCAGCACGCTATGATCAATGGTGGGAATGCAAATTTATATCGGAAGGAATCATCGACCAAGGTAAGCTTATTGTTTGTGAATTGGTAATATTGTATTAAACTTTTTCGCTTAGTAGGAAACAACAACAACAACAACAACAAGATTCCATTTATAGAGCGCCTTTCACGTCAGGAGGACGTCCCAAGGCGCTGCACAGTTGGGTCATGACCGAGCAGCAGGGGGGGAAATGGTCAGGGTGAGGGGAGGGAAGGGAGGGAGAGAGGAGGGGGGAAATGGTCAGGGTGAGGGGAGGGAAGGGAGGGAGCGAGGAGGAGGAAGAGAGTCGAGAGGAAAGCAGGTCAAGGGAAGCCAGAAGATAGCTGCTACTGTTTCACCTGCCAGATTGACCATGATTAACCTTATCCGGTGGATGTCCTTCCCACCTCACATCACAATTAGTTCAAACATTTGAACACTGAACTTGAAATCAGCACGAGACTTTAGATCATAAAGTTCTTGGAACATTTGAATCCCATTGGATCCACTCAGCCCTTCACTTGTTTGGGTGCTATCTCTTAAACAAAGCATCATTCTTTTGGTGTGGTAAGAAGGGTCTCTGGAGTTGAAGTGACTCATAGAGGATATGTATCTGGGAAAGCCAGGTGGGTCCATATAATCCAAAGCATTGTTCATGATTGAACAGCCGGCAGCACATTAGTGAGAAATTGAGGTAAAGACTTTCCAAAAATCTAATGTCCAAATCTATAAGGACAAGTACCATCAAATTTTATCCGCGTTTTGTATTGTCATACTGCTGTTATCATTGCTCATACCCCATGATTTAGGTGTTTGTGAGGTAGGAAGTGGTGGAAAGGGTTGGGTGGATTTAGGATTTATAGTTAATGATATAAACTCATTTAATTTATTCCAACTTTCTTTACCCTATCACCAGGTGGTGGATTCCGAGACAGCCTCTCTGACATCTCTGAAGAACTATGTCCGAGTTCTGCAGAGAGTCCTGTACCTTTGCCATTTTTTGTCCGCACGTCTAATCAGGTATGTTGAAAAGGTGGCCAGGCATCCCTAGTAGACAACAACAAATGACATTTGTATATGTGTGCATAGTGCCTTTCACGTTGGGAGAATGGCCCAAGGCACAGACACCAACTCATTCAGGGGTACAGTTTCTTTTGTAGTATCAGTTGTTTTATATTTCACCCAAATGATCATTTTCATCTGTGAGCTTGGCCAGGATGTTGAATGTGGTACAATATTCTAACTGGAAAAGGCTTCACTGACTCTCCTTTCAATCCCCTTCCAGGGTAACAGCACTGGAGAAGCCCGGGACATGTACGTCCCAAATCCATCGTGCAGAGAGTTTGCCAAATACGAGTGGATCGGACAGTTGATGGGGGCTGCATTGCGAGGACGAGAACTTTTGGTAACTGATTTTCTTTTTAATCCGTAGAATTGAGAGCATGAGGAACCATAATTTATCACTCCAAGGATATATTCTGCCCACCCCAAACTCTTATCCATTACATCCTGCAGGAAGTCTCATTTTGATAGAGTTCTGGAAATGAGGCACTATCAATTATGGAATGGTAAAGCGTAAAGGGAAGATAAATGTTCACCATAATAATAATAATAATCCTTGGTGGCATTAAGGAAATTTTCATGTTCAACTAAGGGAGGGAAATGATGAGGGAATGTATGCAGAGTTTGGTCATTTCTTATCTTAATTTTCCTACAAGGACAAAAGCACATTGTGTATGTTTAACAGGTGCTGGCTCTACCTGGTATAGTGTGGAAACAACTGGCAGGGGAGGAGGTGAGATGGTCCAAGGACTTTCCTGCAGTCGACTCCGTTCTAGTGAGTATTATTGGTTATTTTTATACATGCCTGGAAATCCTTTTAATTAAAGGAATAAATTGAGTGGGGTGGGTGGGGGGAGAGAATCAGTTAGGGTTCTCACTCTACAGACTCGGGCTTGTGATACCTCCCACAATCTCAAAGCCTGCCAACAAATACTGTTAAGGATATGACGCGAATCACTTGGGAAAATTACTGGAATCTTAATCAAGTTGATGGGGGAGGATAAATAAGTTATTTTTAACTTGATTAAATCAAGAAATTCTTGACCTTAACTATTTGTGAGAGTGTTTCCAGCTCCCTTACAGTGATGTACCATTTGTTGCTGTCAGGCTGTAGATGGGTAGGAATGTGTACCTGGCTGCTCAGACTGCTGATGCTGCAGTTGGTGATTCTAACACAGTCGCAAGAGTACAAGTGCTGTAAATTTCTTACGTTAAACTAGCAGATTGTTCATGACAGAATTACAATATCTGTGATTCATATCACTAAAAATGGCAATCCTGGAATTGCTAATTTCATTTAAACAAAATAAACCAAGAGTACAGTAGACTTTCACCTTTGAGAACAAATTTCTATTTAAACTATCCCATTCCTGGCTTGCAGGTGAAGCTCTTGGAAGCGATGGAAACAATGGACAAGGAGACATACGAGTTTAAATTTGGGAATGAACTGACATACACGACTGTACTCAGTGACCATTCTGTAGTGGACCTAATTCCAGATGGCAGCAACGCCATAGTTCAGTATGAAGATCGTAAGGAGTTCATTCGGCTTGTACAGAAAGTAAGACTGGAAGAGAGCAAAGATCAGGTAATATGGGGTCCCGACATTGTTTGGTTAAAAGGAATTGTGTGTCTGAACAAGAGGTGGGGGTAAGGGATGAGATCCATAAATGTATGTCTGTTGAAAGCCAAGCTGGCAGGTGCATATGCCACGACAACGTTAAACTCCCGCTCATGTAGTTGCTAACAATGGCTGAGTTGAGCTCCCTAACTCCCTGTCAGAGAGAGAGCCTGCTGCACGGGTTGTGATTGTCATTCTTCCCACTTGCTGGATAGTGCAATCAGTACTGAGGGTGGTTCATGGAATATGTCTAAACTACTGAACCGAAGCAAAAAAAAATACATTTCCTTTTATTCTTTTAACACTTTACAACAGGATGGAACATCATTATTCTTATCAAATGAATACTTTTTGAAATGTCAATAGGTACAATGTTTGATTTGAAACTGTATGGTGTGTATATAGCTCTGGTAACCTTGGTATTGTGTTTCAATTTTCTGTTTACCTGCCGCAGATTCAGGGGATGAGAGCCGGCTTGCTGAAGGTGGTACCTCAGGCAGTGCTCGACTTGCTGACCTGGCAGGAGCTGGAGAAGAAAGTATGTGGTGACCCGGAGATTTCAGTGGAAGCCCTCAAACGTTTAAGTAAGTCTGCGTGTTCATTGAGCAGCTGCTTATGATCTAAGTTCTACAGCAATCGCTGCCAATTTTACTGGAAAGTACATTTTTCAATTGAAATTCCTAATGACCGGGGTAACTTTCTTGCCAAAGTAAAGTTCATCAACATTGTGTAGTTAACTCTTGTCAGTTGTTGTTATTCATTGTTTTCAGCTCGCTTTGAAGACCTGGAGCAGTCTGACACTCGAGTTAAATATCTTTGGGAAGCACTGACGAATTTTACTAATGGTAAGTGACATTACCACACACATTAAACCAGATTAACCAATGCTAAACCTTGGATTGAGGCATATTTGATCTGAAGATAGCATCAATTTAGTGGATAGGGGTACTTTTAGCCATTCCAAATTTCTAAGCTATTGTGTAACCTACCTCCTGACATTCAATGTGGCAGAAGGTATTGGAGTATTAATGGACTGTGATATCAAAATATACAGAACTCTTCTGAGGCAAATATTAATGCCACTTGAACTGTGTCAAGTAGACATCTAAACTTTGCTGGGCTCAAAATTAAATGGATTTAAAACATTAGTGAACTTTTCTATTCAGTATGGCAAAAAATTGACATAGAAATTGTAGGAATACATCTTCCTGACTTGATTTATGTATTCACATTCTATAGAGTTATCAGCACTTACAACTCAGGCACCAGCTTAGAACTATTTCAGTTCAACCCCCACCCCTTGCAAAAAGAGCAAAGATACTATCAACCACTACAGTACATTTCACTTCAGTTGCCTCAGAAATGATCGAATTCCAGTGATTTTTGTAATAAACCTGTTAGATGGGCCTGTGCTTTGTGATATTTATAGCTGTTACTTCAACCACATAACCGCTCTTTGCTCGTTGTTTTTATTGTTTCAGGTTAGAGGGTAATTTTTGGAGGGTAATTATTTCTGATTTATATTTCAGAGGATCGCAGTCGATTTCTGAGGTTTGTCACGGGCCGAAGCAGGCTTCCTGCCCCTATATTTATTTACCCAGATAAATCCGGGTAAGTGTTTGAGGATTTTAAATAGCAATTAACTTGCTAATGCACAACACTTACTAAACAGGGGATGGTAAGAGTCCTTTGCTTAATCCTTAAATGGAGCACAAAATAAATGCTGCATCTTGAATTTTGTACCTGCTCTAACCCACATAGTGTAGTTCCATTCCCTGGAACATAATTGCAGTTGTACCATAGAGTGGTTTTAATCTGAATCTTAGAAAGAAAATAACAGAGCAGCATTGGTGAAGCCAAGGAGCGGGTCTGCAGTTCCACTGTTGTAAAGTGACATGTTGCACAAGGAAATACCAAAGAGGAAAAATGGGTGGGATAGTAAGCTGCAGGTTCAAGACTGATTCCCGTGAACAAAGTTGGGTGCCTTGAAATTGGAAGATAAGTGGAAGGATGTGGTATTTCTCACTGAATCATGTGGCAATTTACATTTGCTTTTGACAGATCAGAGAAGACAGACGCTCTCCCAGAATCCTCTACGTGTTCCAGTACGTTATTTCTACCGAACTATTCCAGGTTAGATGTTGATATTTACAACCTCGTCTTTCTTTCCTTACTTCCAAACAGGCTGACTGGTTTTGGAGAAAGGTTTTACAGTTTCTGTCAGTCCTCCAGAACCTTCTTCAAAGACCTAAATATATATATCTTTACCTTGGTGTTTCTCCCAGCAATTCCAGTTTCAAACTCAGCTGTTTATTAAATCATTGGTATATCTAGCTTTCCACGGTATCATAATGATCTGATAGTAGAACCATATTTCAAATGCTTTGATCCTATTTTCTTCATGACCTTTCAATATCCAGCTCTCTGCTGTTTAAAGGTATTAGACCCACAGAATGTAAACTTCCTTCTCAATGTACTTATTCTTTATTCTCATTCTGCAGTGCAAAACTCTGTGAAGAAAAACTGCGATATGCAGCCTACAACTGCGTGGCTATAGACACAGACATGGTGCCCTGGGAGGAGTAATGTTTGTCATCTACTAACATCTTTTGTCAAAAAAATGACAATGAAACCGACTGAAAAGTCATGCCTACTTACTGCTGATTTATTTTTTTGCAAATGCCAGTTATTATAATAAAAATAATAAATAATCATTGAATTTGATATAACGCCTTATCACGTCTTCAAGATGTCGCAAAGCGTATCGCTGAATATACTATAAAGTGTAGTGATTGTACTTTGTGGGCGAAACGTTATAGGATTGAGAGAGGTCTCGTGTTATCTTTCCCATCTTTTGCTAATTCTTGGGTGATATAATTACAGCCATTCAACGTTTCCAATTCAAAATAAAAATATGTGTATATTGCATTTCAGATCCAAGTGCTTAATAAGAGAGAGTCATACCCTACGCCCCCTTTATCTTTTCCTTCAGAGCTGCTGATCCTGTACAGCAAGTTAACATTCTTGGGCTATGCCACTTTTTAGTAAAGTTCTTAGGTCAAACAATTCTCACCAGGGAGGGGAATGTGGGCCAGATTGTCCTGGCAGCTCTGAGCAGCTGGTTACAGATATATTGGCACCTCCTGAAGAGAAGATTGTGTGGCCAAAAAGCATGCAGTGAGTGGGTGGAATGGGAAGGAAATAATTAATTGAAATTACATTTATACCGACATTATTGAGTGGTTACTATCAGTGTACATATGCTTCATGTTGTGTTTCACTGAGAGGGATGGGGGCAGGGGGAAGACACTTATCTTTACAGCTTCGTATTTCCGATTAATGCAAGCATGCTTCAAGTGATATTGTGCTGTATTCATAAGAATGGACTTGATTGAAGTTGTGCAAATATCATACCCCAGAAGCAATAAACTTGCATTTTCTGGGCTGTGCTATGAGTCTTCTCGTACCCCAGAAAAAATACTTGATTTAAATTTTATTTCTGGCACAGTACGCAGTGCAGTCTAGCATTGCTATTTGGTGCATTCAGGTGTAGAGGTGCTTTATGACCCACAAGAGATTTGATTTTGCACTGGTTGTGGGTTCACTCTTGTTTGTAAAGAAAAAAAGTCCTTAATCATACAGCTATACAAACACTATATAGTCTTATACATTTGTGTTAAATATACACAGAGCCATTTCTGTGAAAACACCAGATGAAAATAAAACAATTTATAAAACCTCACTAGTTTTGTGGTGGTCCTCTTAATTGTGAATGCAATGGTGAACTAGTTACTACCATTTAGAGAAGAGAGTCCCAGTCTGATTGTTCCACTGCCATTTGAACACTTGGATTGCATCGCTGGGTGTTTTTTTGCTGACAGTAAGACCACTAGATGGAGCACTGCAATTGGTGGAGACCTCATCTCTACTCGTCTGGAGGTGATGATCCCTGTCCTTACATTTCTGTTGAAGTGTAAGGTGCCATAGAGGAGCAGTAATGGGAATGTGACTGAGAAAATATGCTATTGGTTTCATAACATCATCTGATAGAAGGTTCTGCTTGAAGGCTTAGTTGAGGAAGGGCGGGAGGGGCTCATGTGGAGCATAAACACCGGCAGAGACCAGTTGGGCCGAACGGACTGCTTCTGTGCTGTAGATTCTCGTCTGTTCTAATGTAAATCACATCCTGTGCTCATTTTATCCTTGCTGACCTCTGCTTCAGGTAGCAATAAGTGAAGGATGTCATTTGAGCTGAGCAATGTATGTACTGTAATAACATCTAAATCAGAATGTGAGATTTGGCGTAACAAAGACCCACAGATTCACAATAAGACGAGAGTTGCTGAAAACAAACAATCCTGAGAGGTTAAATGACATAGGTACATCTGGAAGCTATTTGTTGGTAGTTGGTATGATGTGTTTTTAAGATGTATATGGGGCCTTAAGACTGTCAGTATAAGCCAGTTTCTGCAGTTTTATTTAGGGTCACTACGTTTTGAATCTGAGAGGCCACAAAGCAATTAATGTAGGGCTTCCCCTGATGGCTCATTGTAAGTGCATCACATATTGTGGTATTAAGAATTACAATGGCGCTTTTCTGAGGTTTATGTTATAATAATAATAATCCTTGCATTTAGAATAGAGGCTTTCATGGCAGGAGGATGTCCCAAAGCATGTCACAGGATTTACTGTGTATTTTTTGGCATAAAATGGGTCTGGTAAAGAGCAGAAGCAGCTTCATCTTGCATCTCTTTAAGAGGAAGCGCATCTGGTTCAAGGGGAACCAAGTTTATGAAAACAAGTTCCATTAATCAGAGAGTTTACCTTGAGTATAAAATTCTCTTTTCCCCACCTTGAAAAGGTGGCTTGCAACCCCAAAGGCTTTGTCTCTTAATATGACATCAGCGTAGTTGGTTTATTCAGCTTTAACTGCTTCACTTATGGAGTACCTTGGAGCTCAAATGTCATGATCCACAGTATTTGTGTGTGGACTAAGTACATAGGTACTTGCTTCAGACTGCTTAAAAACAGATTTTATTGTCTGCCGTTGGTAACAAAGAAGGGAGTTTCATTGGAGACCTGAAGCAACAGAGCAGAGGTTTTATAATAATAATAATACTAATCCTGGCATTTGATATAGAGCTTTTCAGATCTTCTAGACGTCTCAAAGCGCTTCACAGAATATGCTGTCAAGTGAATTGACCATATATGTGTGTGCGAAATGAACAATTCTGCCCAGTCAACAACAACAACAACAAGATTCCATTTATAAAGCGCCTTTCACGTCAGGAGGACGTCCCAAGGCGCTGTAGGTCAGTCGCCAACGCAAATCAGAGTCTCTCCCCAGTTAACATGAACAGACGTGGGGATGAAAATGTTTAAATTCTTTAAAGCGCAGTCATTAGACCAAATGTATACAATGATTATAATAGGCCAACAAAGTAACAGTGGGGCGACCGCAAATACTGATTTATTTATCCTTTGTTCTCCAGTGCAAGTCATTTTATCCACTTATGTAGTTTATTCACTTGATTCACATGACTTCTATTCACACACTGAGTTCAGATTTCAGAAGAATTGGTAGTGAAGGTAGGCTTCATCCCCAGCAGTCAGGGAATGATAATCATAATGATGATGAGGAATTTAATGATGATGAGAAAGAAACAGTTTGCTAAGAAATAAAACCCCTGGATCTGCAATTCCACTCTAAATTCCATTCTAAATTTAGCATCAAAATGTCAATTGGGAAATCCACCAATCCATTCCGTTTAATCATTAATTCAACAATTTCCACTATCTAAAGAACCAATAAAAGTATTAAACAAAAGCAATGATCTCAAAATGTATTTACAATTCTATAATCCACTGTAACAGCAGTATTTTAATTGTTACACCCCCGAAACTCTGGAACACTCTTCCTCTATCCCTCCGTCTTGCCCTTTCCTTCCTTATCTTTAGGTCGCGCCTGAGGACCTTCCTCTTCAACCGTGCCTATGGTCACCCCCCCCCCCCCACCCCCCGACTCGGTATCTGGCTCCACCACTGTCAAGCGCTCTGGGACATTACCTTGCTTGAGGGGCGTCATATAAATGCAAGTTGTTGTAGTTGTTTAATGCTGAACATTAAAGCAAGTAGGAGAGTTTGCACAATGGGAAGGGGTTTGTGAGGGCAATTTGTGTTTACCAGTTCACAACTACCTCACACCTTATATAGTGATTACTGTATATCTATTTATTACTTGGTATTTTTCTCTCAGCTCCTGAATGTTTGGGTTTCAGGGTTGCCAGAAGCCATCTGGTGTTTCACAATGTAATACTCTTTACACTTTTAAAGCAGAGTGCCTTTCATGTCAGAAGCATGTGCCAAAGTGCTCGACAATTCTGGCTGAGTACCAGAGCTGCAGGTCGTGGTTGATAGGGGTGAGGAGGATAAAGATAAACTAGTGCGTGGGCAAGATATGGAGTGGGCTGGAGGAAAAACAAGAGTCTTGTAGGACGGGGGGGAGGGGGAATGATAATGATACAGAATGAGAAACGTGATGCATGCAGAATGGAGGCTAAGAGAGGGAGGAACCAGACTCACACAGGTTTGGGGGAAAGAGGGCACAGAGAGCAATCAGCTGTTTACTGGGGTGGAATTGGGGTAACTGGAGATCCAGCCACAGTGGGGGAATCTGCAAAAGGAACTGCAGATCTATGGGTGGGAAAGGGAAGGAGGAATTAATTTTTTTTGATCAGCCAGATGTCTGACACATGTGGAAACCCATCACCGTGCTTAAGAGTCTCCAAACCAAGCTGAGATTTACATGCATCACACCTACACATGGAAATTCCAGAGACAAATTGTTGGAATGGAATGCGCTCTCTCTCTCTCTCTATCTCTCTGGAGGAACGCCTCCTGATTACCTAATTCCAGAAAGTATTAGGCGCAGGTTGGCAAGAGCCAAGGCTTGGGGAATAGATAAAGACACATTTGCTACAAATAACATGTGAATCATGAAATGTGGATAGTGGGGTCAGATGAAGCACAAAATGTATTTCACCCTTCTCCATACTATGGTGATTTGAAACACAAGGCTCCACCTCTTAGTGTGGTATTTGTCTTGTTCAATAACACTTTGTTGACTATTTCACTCGGGCGATATGTTGAAGCTGCCAAGTTAGAGTATTTTTTTTGTGGAGGACTAGTATTCACTGGGAATCCTGTTTTAGACTGCTCCCAAATGCATATATCTTGTATTTATTTTGCTTGCAGCTGCCCACAAAGAGGTACATTTTATTGATGTATTTAATGATCCTAGTGGTTTGCTTCTTATAGTGCTAAGTCACAAACGGCTGTGGCCTGAAGGCATGAGGTGCTGTACATAAATCACGGAGGCACAAATTAGAGTAGGAAATTGCAAGACCTCCAGTAATGTGCTGAGAATTGGCGAGCGGCACTGAGGTGGGTTCAGTGTGTTTGCTGCTAAACTTCCATCACGTCAGTTTGTTTCCGAAGGCAGTCTTTTTGGTGAAGCCAATTAAGATTCCATGACCAATGTGAAGCAAATGTAATGTTGAAACCTTTTTTATTAATAACATAAGTTTTATGTGGCAGCACCTCATTTCATCAAAATCAATTGGCCTCTATAATTGGGTGGTCCAATTCATATAAAATCCTTTAGGCCTTTTTTTGATAAAAATTAATTGTTTACCTTTTGCTGAAATGTGATTATAACAAATGGTTATCTTCTGCTGGGACTTGTTTTTACATTTAGAAAGAATTTTTAACTTGTTTGGTTTAAATACCTTTTAAGATCAAGAAGGTTTTTATGTCATTCCTTCCTTGTCCCTGTTCCCCCCCGACTACACCACACACACACACACACACAAGAAATAAAACAGATGTCACAATTAGTCATAAGGACTGATCTCGATGTAGGCCCTATTGCAACTGTTTCCTGCGAGTGCAGTCTATGCCTTTGCCGCTGTGTGTGGTATTACCTGCTTCACTCTCTCTCTCTCTCTGCTTTCCTCCTCTCCCCCTCCACCTCTGGCCACCTCATCAAGCTCAATTACAGAGCAGACAGCTAAAGAACTACTACTCCTTAATTCTGGATGTAAAGTAGCACTCCGGGCCAGGGTGACCTCATGTTGTCCGTGCTACACATTAACTCCCTCTCCCCCTTCCTGGCTCGCCCCCAACCGATATGGTAATTAGCATGCTATCTGTTGCTTCCTCGTGTAGTACGTTAGGATACTGGGTAGTAATTTAAGGGTAAAATCAAAGTCAGAGGTCAAATAGCTGAACCAAACGAAGGAAAAACATTGGCAATATTTAGAGCGTTTTGCTGGAGATCAAATCTGTCTCCAGTTCCCTTTCTTTCTGAGGGAAAGGAGGATTATTAATGTGTGAATACCGAAGCACATTGGTGCATTTTGGGCTGATTTCTTGCATCTGTGATATCAGATGCAGTTGATCGAGCCTGTGTGACGCCTTAATAGAACTCAGTTGTTCCATCAATAGATTGAGAAATACAATTGCTCAATGTTTCGAAAACCTGATAAGGTGCTATATCAAATGCAAGGCTTATTATTATTATTATTATTATAATGAGCATTTACCCCTCCCTCAGGGAAAAAAGAAATGTAAGTTTCTTCGCAGAGAAGCTGTCAGATCTACTGTCCAAACACTGATCAAGCAGCTAACCAATAGAACCGAAACACTCTTGTGAATACACGTGGAGTGTTTGCCACTGAGGGC